AAAATAGGGGATTGGGATTGTGGCTCAGTGGTTGAGCACTTGCCTGGCATGTGTGAAGCACTGGGTTTGATTCTCAGCATCGAATATAAATAAATGAATGAAATAAAGGTTATCAGCATCTAAAAAAAAATTATACACACACACACACACAAAATGTGGCTCAGTGGTGGAGTGCCCCTGAGTTCAATCCTCGGTGCCCCCCCCCCAATAAAAAAACCTTATCTATGAATGTTCAGAGCAATATTATTCATAATAGCAAAAAGTGAAAACAGCCCATTTGTCTACCAGTTGATGAACAGATAAAATGTGATAGGCATACAATGAAGTACTACTTAGACTTAAAAAAAGGAAATAGATCTTTTTTTTTTTTTTAAATAATAATTTTTTTTTTAATTTTTTATTGTTGGCTGTTCAAAACATTACATAGTTCTTGGTGTATAATATTTCACAATTTGATTCAAGTGGGTTATGAGCTCCCATTTTTACCCCATATACAGATTGCAGAATCACATCAGTTACACATCCATTGATTTACATATTGCCATACTAGTGTCTGTTGTATTCTGCTGCCTTTCTTATCCTCTACTATCCCCCCTCCCCTCCCCTCCCCTCCCCTCCCCTCCCCTCTTCTCTTCTCTCTCTGCCCCCTCTACTGACATTCGTTTGTCCCCCTTATATTATTTTTCCCCTTCCCCTCACTTCCTCTTGTATGTAATTTTGTATAACTCTGAGGGTCTCCTTCCATTTCCATGCACTTTCCCTTCTCTCTCCCTTTCCCTCCCACCTCTCATCCCTGTTTAATGTTAATCTTCTTCTCATGCTCTTCAACCCTACTCTGTTCTTAGTTACTCTCCTTATATCAAAGAAGACATTTGGCATTTGTTTTTTAGGGATTGGCTAGCTTCACTTAGTATAATCTGCTCTAATGCCATCCATTTCCCTGTAAATTCTATGATTTTGTCATTTTTTAATGCAGAGTAATACTCCATTGTGTATAAATGCCACATTTTTTTTATCCATTCATCCATTGAAGGGCATCTAGGTTGGTTCCACAGTCTAGCTATTGTGAATTGTGCTGCTATGAACATCGATGTAGCAGTGTCCCTGTAGGAAATAGATCTTAATGATAGAGCTCTTGCTCTACTGGGTTTGATCCCCAGTACTTGAGGGCAGGAGGGATATAGTAATAATATAAAACTAATAACAATATGAATGAGCCTTGAAAACATAATGGTGAATTAAAGAAGCTCCTCACAAAAGACTGTGTACTCTTATTTGTATGAAGAGTTCAGAAAGGGCAAATATGGAGACAGAAAGTAGGTTCATTGTTCTCTAGGTCTAGAGTGGGTAATGTGAGGGAACAACGGAGTGACTACTGATGGGCATGGGGTTTGTTTTGTTGTTGTTGTGTTGGGGGGTAATTAAAAATGTTCTAAAATTGTGGTGATATTTGCACAGTGTGAAAATACTAAAAATCATCTGCTTGTGCACTTTAAGTAAATTGTATGGAAAGTGAATTATACCTTGATAAAGCTATTCTTCAAAAGAGGGAATTAGTGAATATTACCCACAGATTCACAGTTTGGGTTTTGTTTTGTTTTGTTAATTTTAGAGGGCTTGATATCTTTATTTTTATATGGTGCTTAGGATCAAACCCAGTGCCTCATGTATGCTAGGCGAGCACTCTACCCTGAGCCACATCCCCAGCCTCCTGACTTTTTATCTGGTCTCTAGAAGATATATTTTCTCTTATTAGAAATTTTGTTTATCCTTTTTTTTCCCTCCCATTATAACAGGGGGTTGGGGAATGGAATCGGCCCTTATTTTGCCTTGAACTACAGTTTTCTTTGCAAGAGAACCAGTTAATGTTGGTAGTCTTTTCTGTCCTGTTGCTACTTGAGTCTGAATTTTTGAACCCGTCTCATACCTCACATGTGAAAGGCATGTCCCTAGGGCATAGAAATCAAATTTTGTTGAGTACCTTCTAAGTACTCCATTTTTACAGATGAATTTGAGACTTGAAGAGGGAAGGAACTTAACCTGGTAAAATTCAGTAGCAGTTTGAACCTGTTTTTATCACTCAAAAAGTTTTTTTTTTTTTTTTTCCAGTTCATCATTGCTATTTTCTACAAGGACAATAGCCCAAAATTTTGAAGATGTTGGAGAAAATCTAAATCTGCATTTAGATTTTATTAGTATAAAAAAATCAAAATGCAGCCAGGTGTGGTGATGCACTCCTGTAATCCCAGCACCTTCAGAGGCTGAGGCAGGAGGATGGATCACAGGTTCACAGCCAGCTTCAATAACTTAGTGAGGCTGAAAACAACTGAGCAAGACCCTGTCTCAAAAATAAAAAAAGGGACGGGGATGTGGCTCAGTGGTTAAGTGCCCTTGGGTTCAATCCCTAGCACAAAATAAGAAAAGAGGGCTGGGGCTGTAGTTCAGTGGCAGATGCTTGCCTAGCATGCGTGAGGCACTGGGTTCTATTCTCAGCACCATATAAAAATAAACAAAATATAAAGGCATTCTGTCCATCTACTACTTCAAAAAATATTTTTAAAAAAATAAGAAAGAAAATGGAAGGTGATGATAATTGTGCCTTGAATAATTTTGCTGTGTGAGTAAAGAAAATATTTTTTAACAGACTAAGTGCAGGAATTCTTCATTAAGAAAAGCAAAATGTCTGTGGATGTGTAACCGATGTGATTCTGCAATCTGTATTTGGGGTAAAAATGGGAGTTCATAACCCACTTGAATCTAATGTATGAAATATGATTTGTCAAGAGCTTTGTAATGATTTTGAACAACCAATAAAAAAAAATATTAAGGCTTAGGGGTGGGAGGAGAAGGGAGGGGGCATGGGGTTAGAAATGATGGTGGAATGTGATGGACATCATTATCCAAAGTACATATATGAAGACACAAATGGTGTAAACATACTTTATATACAGCCAGAGGTATGAAAAACTGTGTTCTATATGTGTAATATGAATTGTAATGCATTTGTCTGTCATTTATTTAAAAAAAATATTAGGGCTTGACATCAGCCCAACATCTTAAAAAAAAAAAAAGAAGAGAAAAGCAAAATGTCTTAAGAATTTGAATTTGTATTTTGTATGTTGTGTATGTGTGTGTGTGGGGGGGTGTTACTGGGAATTGAACCCAGGGCCTTGAGCGTGCTAAGTAAGCTCCCTACCATTGTGCAGTATCCTTAGCCCTTGATTTGTTATCTATATAGAACTGGGACAAAGAACAACAGGCCCTTCTGGTATTTGGAATATCCAAACAACTAAGGTTTCCCAGTAGATGCCCTTTGTCTAGTTCATCTTCTCCTATTTCTCCACCCCTAAAATAGGGCAATTAGCTGGGCATGGTGATACATATCTATAATCCAAGCTACTGGGGAAGCTGAGGCAGGAGGATTGGAAGTTTGAGGCCAGCCTTGGCAACTTAGCAAGACCCTATCTCAACATAAAAAAGGCTAGGGGTATAGCTCAGTGGTAGAGTGCTTCTGGATTCAGTCATCAATTAAAAAAAAAAAAAAATGGGGGTGGTGCTGGGGATGTGGCTCAAGCCATAACGCACTTGTCTGGCGTGCGTGGGGCACTGGGTTTGATCCTCAGCACCATATAAATATTTTAAAAATACAGATATTGTGTCCACCAAAAACTGAAAAATAAATATTAAAAATTTCTCTCTCTCTCTTCTCTTTTTTTTTAAAGAATTTTTAATATTTATTTTTCAGTTTTCAGTGGACACAACATCTTTATTTTATTTTTATGTGGTGCTGAGGATCGAACCCAGCGCCCCGCGCTTGCCAGACGAGCGCGTTACCGCTTGAGCCACATCCCCAGCCCCTCTCTTCTCTCTTTAAAAAAAAAAAAGTCCTATCAAAGAATCTATTACAGGAAAGGTTTTGATAACTACAGTGTAGTTGAAGTTTACTTTCATTGTTAAAGTTGACTGGAGAAATCTCATTTGTGTCTCAAAAAAATAAAAAGGGCTGGTATGTAGCTATTGGTAAATCAACCCCTGGGTTCAATCCCCAGTACCCCACCTCCTGCCGGGGGGGTGGGGAATTAAAAAAAAATCCAACATCCAAAAATATAAAATTAACAATGTCCAGAATCTAATCAGAGATTACCAGATATGCAAAGAACAGCAAAACATGATCTATGAGGTACAAAATCAAGCAACAGAAATCTACTTACTTAGAATTAATTTTATTAAAATTAAAGAGATATTGTGACTGTATTCCAGATACTCAAAATGTCAAATAGAGAAGTGGAAAATATACAGAAAGATTCACGGCAAACTTAAAAACTAGTGTCTGAGATGAAAAATACAGTGGATATAAATAAAGTGTGGTACTGGCATAAAGATAGACATATGCTCAATGGAATAGAATTTAGAGCCCAGGAATACACTCTAATATTTATCAACTGATTCCCAAAGATTGCCAAGATAATTTAATCAGGGGAAAGGATAGCAACTGGCTGTCTATATGCAGAAGCATGAAACTGGATCATCTATCTCACACCACATTCAAAAATTAAGTAAAAGTGGGGTAAATACCTAAATGTAAGGACTAAAACTATAAAATTCTTAAAATGAAAAGACTAAATCTTTGTAACCTTAAGTTAGACAATGAGTTTCTTAGATATATACCAATGACACAGGCAAATTGGACTTCATCAAAATTAGGGCTGGGGTTGTGACTCAGTGGTAATATAGATGCTACAAGACAGTATAGTGTGGGAAGCTAGCTCAGTTAACTTTTGAATTTATACATATATGTACATTTTAGGAATGGTGGCCAGGAGTGTAGCTCAGAGATAGAGCTCTTGCGTAGCCTCTGTGAGGCCATGAGTTTGATCCCCAGCACCACCAAAGAAAAAAGAAAAAAGATTCTTATTAATAATTTTACCACTCCACTCTCTTCCCTTATGGAATGTTTAAAGGACTTTATTCTGATCTCACTTGTGTTTTTCTTTCCTTAGAATGGATAGAATGACAGAAGATGCTCTTCGACTGAATCTTTTGAAGCGAAGCTTGGACCCAGCAGATGAGCGAGATGATGTCCTGGCAAAACGACTGAAAATGGAGGGGCATGAGGCCATGGAACGTCTGAAAATGTTGGCACTGCTCAAAAGGAAGGATTTGGCAAATCTTGAGGTGCCACATGAGTTACCCACCAAACAGGATGGCAGTGGTGTCAAGGGTTATGAAGAAAAACTCAATGGGAATCTCAGGCCTCATGGAGACAACAGGACTGCTGGAAGGCCAGGCAAAGAAAACATCAATGATGAGCCTGTGGATATGAGTGCTAGACGGAGGTATGGCTCAGTTTAGCAGCCTCCAGAGATAGGGTCTTCTCATAAACTAAGCCTGTGAAAACAGAATGAATTCAAATGAGGGTGTTTTTCATCCCACAACTCTTAAAAGAAGATATATCTTACCAGAATTCCTCCTCTTTTGTAAATGAACCTAGGTGTCTCAAATTTACTTATACCATGCTGAGATGATCATAGTTCTTACCTTTAAAATGGTCATTTCTGGATGAAAGGGAGCACTAGAGAGTTGATAGCCCAATTAATATACACCTTCATTCTAAGTTTGTGGCAGTATTAAGAAGGAAAAAAGCAGTCTTTCCTTCAGATCATTCCAGAAGTTTTAGGATCTTTTTATTATGGAGTCTCAGCTTTTGTCACATCAAAAAGCATGGTCCTGGCTTTTCTTATGTCAGAAAATCTTCATGTGGTAAGTTTCTACATTCTTGCTTTGTGCCACTTTTCCCATTTTCTAAATATGCCTATGCATATACATTCCTTTAAACACACATACTCATATTCTCACTTTAGCTCTGTTACACACACAAACACTTTTACAGACCTTTTTTCTTGGTGTTTGTCAAGGTTGATTACTTGACACTAGAGCACATGTTAAGGGAAGTTACCTGGAGCTGGCTGAGTGTTGAGTCAGCCTGGACAGTGGATCACAGAGTAGGCAACCCTAGTTTTTATTTTTGTTTTTGGTGCTGGGGATTGAACCCAGGGCCTTATGCTGGCAACCCTAGTTTTAAGAATATTTAGGGTGTTTTTTTTTTTTTTAATGCTTTTATTAGTACATATTTAAATTGGTGCTTCATAGATGTACATAAAAGTGAGATTCCTCATAGTATATTTATACATATACAGAGCATAATTTTGTCAAACTCATTCTGCATTGCCTTTTCTGTCTTGTCCTACCACCCTCTCCCTCATTTTCCTCCTACTCTAATCTCATAAGATTGACCCCTCTCCCTCCCCCTCACTTTGCTCTAGCTTCCATATGTGAGAGAAAACATTGAACCTTTGATTTTCTGAGTCCAACTTTTTTGGGAGGTACCCAAGATTGAACTCGGGGGCACCCAGCCCTATTTTTTTTATATTTTATTTAGAGACAGGGTCTCACTGAATTGCTTAGCACCTTGCTTTTGCTGAGTCTGGCCTTGAACTTTCAATTCTCCTGTCTCAGCCTCCTGAACTGCTAGGATTACAGGCATGCGCCACCATGCCCGGCTTCAGTTCAACTTGTTTTAATAAATAACACTCAGTATTTTTAGTGCAGAGCCAGGTACAGTGGTACATCCCTGCAATCCTGGTAACTCGGGCATCTGAGGCAGAAAGATTTCAAGTTAAAGTTCAGCCTCAGCATGATCCTGCCTCAAAATAAACTGGGTTGGGGATGTGACTCAGTGGTAAAGCATTCCTGGGTTCAATCCCCAGTTACACCCTCCCCCAAATTAAAATACTAAATAAAGAGGACTGGGAATGTAGCTCAGTGGTAAAGCATCCTTGGATTCAGTCCCCAGTAGCAAGAAGAAAGAAAAAAGTTTGGAAACAGCTAATAGACATGAGAATTCCTCTTCAATGTTGACTTGCCCTCCAAAAGGTCTTGCTGACTTTGTCCTAGACTGATGCAAAGCAAGATTTTTAAGAAGGTGGACTAATGGAGATGGAAGAAGAAAGGACTGGTTATAACCTTAGATGTGTTTCTTTGCTTTTTAATGTTTACTTGTAAGCCTTGTCCCAGGACTGTATTTTAAACCACATCACATGAGGGAACATTATTCTTGGTAATAGTATTAAAAACCCTTTGTAAACCTCAGATAAACTCCCTAATGGTTCTGGAATAGGAGAAAAGTCCTTGGAAGTTATAGGTAGTATCAGTGGAATATTATGTTAAGTAGATTAATCTTTAGCTCTTTGGAACAAAAGGAATTGGGTGAATGAGATCATATAACTGAACAACTCACTTGCCCTTAATCATCCTTACTCTTCTGGAATAAGTGGCTAAAATCCACTTCATTGGGGAAGAAGAAGAGGCAAAATGCTAGGTAGATTCCTCACATGTGAAACCGAAACCCTTAAGTGCATTTTCATAGACAGATTTTTGGTAAAATCTTAGGGCTGTTGGAATTAAACTATTATATATACATTATATGTTAAAAAGTCAGACTTGGGGGTTGAGGATGTAGCCCAATGATAGAGCATCTAAAAGAAAGAAAATTGAATTGTTCTTGAAAACCCAACCATTGTATTAATTTTCTTTTCCAATGATGAACTTTTGAAACATAATCCTTTAAAAGCTGGGGATTCCAGGTATATGAACAGCTATTTCCATTGGCTCCAAGCTGTTCTATAAAAATGAACAAAATTAATCAATTCCCAGGAAGAACAACTATGGGATAAAAGGAAGAAATAAATTGAAAGCAGAAGGAAGGAGAAATTTTTAACATGAGAGTTATGTCATAACTGCCTGCATATATTATTTTGCCATTAGTTGGACAAGTTATAATACCTATGAAATCTATAAATATTTGTGAAACCAGTACTATACATATTTTGGAATGCTAGAGAAACAACAGTTCTCTTTCTTTTTAGTTGGTTTTACTATGGGGGTAAGAATTAGGAGCTTTATAGCTTCTGAGTCATAAGTGATGTTCATTAGCAACTTGGACTTTGAATAATCTCTCACTAATAGGGAAGATTTCATCCTTAAGAAACCCAAATAGGGCTGGGGATGCATGCATAAGGTGCTGAGTATAATTCCCAACACTATAAAAAACAAATATTATAAATCATAGATACATTTGGGAAAGGAACAAAGTAATTTTTTTCTCTGGAATGTTTAAGAAATGTGCTTAGAATTCCAGGTGAAACTTTTTAAAAATTGAGGAACAAGACCTGACTTGGGCTTTGCCTTGTCTGTATTATCTAATGTGAGTCTGATTGTATCTGGGAATAAATATCATTTTGGGTGGCTCTCAGATGTATCTTTCTGATAATGTCATAAAATTTCTAAATCTCCGTCCAGGAATGTCTCTGCCTTTCTTGGGACTGAACAGTCTTGTCAGTAGTCGTTAATATTAATTTGAACAAGGAATATTGGTTTTTTATTTTTTGCAGTGCTTAGGGATCAAACCAAAGCCCTCATACGTGTGCTAGACAAGCACTATACCACTGATCTACATCCTCTATCCAAAGAAAATTGTTTTACTCTTAGAAACAGTTTTCCGTAATGTCTGTGTCTAGCCAGAACCAGAATTTTTATGTTTAGTTTAAGACAAGGTCTCACTAAGTTGCCCATACTGGTCTTGAACTTGGATCCTCCTGGCTTAGTCTCCGAAGTAGCTGGGATTACATGTGTGTGATACTACACTTGATTTAGGGCCACGGTTTTTTAAGTCTTCTGAATTGGGCACAATGGTATGCATCTCCAGTCCCAGCTATTTGAGATGCTGGGGCAGGAGGATTGTTTGAGCTCAGAAGTTTGAGGATATCTGCCAATATAGAGAAACCGGGTCTGGGGGGAGAGGCTACTTACTGGTGATGGCAAATCAAGGAGAGAATGGGAATTCTTCCATTACTCAGAATTCACCCATTTTAATCTTAGGGGTAAGGGTAGGAAGGAATATAGAAACCGTAAGTAATGATATGCCTTGGCACATCCCTGTAATTCCAGCAACTCTGGAGGCTGAGGCAGGAGGATTATAAATTCATGGCCAGCCTGAACAACTTAGGTGGCTGTCTCAAAAAAAAAATGGTTGGGGTTGCAGCTTAGTGGTAGAGCACACCCAGGTTCAATCCATGGTTCCAAAATAGAAATGATAAGTAAATCACACAAAGAAATAAATTTGAGCACTTTATTTAGGACTGACCATTACTCCAAGAATTTGGGATTAGAAAATGAAAAGCTCTTTTCTCCCTCTAGTGGCTTCTTTCTCTGTAACTCTGCATTCTCAGCTTGTAGTTGAAAGCAATCCAGGCTTGATAGTTCACAAGATAGTTATTCTCACTCTGTCCTCGTGTTCTCTTTCCTCACCTAAACTTGGTTGACTTTAATAACTCAGATGTATCCTATTGAGAAATTAAATGCTCATTCTATCTAACAGATATGCTTTGTTCAGAAGGCTTCCACGGGCTGGGAGCATAACTCAGTGGCAAAGCACTTACCTTCCTTGAAAAGGGCCCTCAGTTCAATCCCAGCAATACAGAAAACACCGCTTCCATATCCCAAAAGTAACTGAGACAAGAGAAATCACAGAGAAATGATGGATCTGTAGAATATTATACTAAGTAAAATAAGCCAATCCCAAAGAACCAAATGTTTTCTCTGATACGCAGATGCTAATTCACAATGGGGTGGAGGTGTGTAGAATAGAGGTACTTTGGGCTAGACAGGGGGGAGTGAAGAGAGAAGAGGGGGTATGGGGGTAGGAATGATAGTAGAATGAATCTGACATTATACCCTATGTGCATATATGATTACGTGACCTGTGTTACTCTATATCATGTACAACCAGAAGAATAAGAATTATACTCCATTTATGTCTGGTGTGTCAAAATGCATTCTACTGTCATGTATAACTTATTAGAACAAATTTTAAAATTTGCTATAGACCTATGTGCTCCCAGGACAGCCTCAAAAAGTAGAGTCTGGGATTGATCTTGGAAATGAGAAGAGAGTTAGAAGATATAGTCAATAATTTGGATCTAAGGCAATCAAGAGTTTCCAGGATTCTTGTATTAGCTAGATGTTAAGCACTAAGTGCCATTATTCATTACTTTACAGAAAAAAGGCTAACCCCAGCTTGTCTAAGAAATAAGATTAGGGGCTGGGGTTGTGGCTCAGCATTAGAGCGCTCACCTGGCATGTGCGAGGCCCTGGGTTCCATCCTCAGCACCACATATAAATAAAATAAAGGTATTGTATCAACTACAACTAAAAAATATTAAAAAAAAAAAAAAAAAGAAAGAAAGAAAGAAATAGGGTTAGGAATATGAGCCATTGTGAAAGATTTAGATGTCAAAGTAATTTCTGGTGGTTTCTTTCTGGGGGAGAGTGCTACGTAATACTCTAGAAAGTCAATGTGTATTTACTTCTGGAGGGTCGGTCCTTTCCCAGAAGATTGTAGACTTTATAATCTGCAGTGTTCATATTCTCAAGCCATGAACAACACCTTTTGCCTACTCTTCAGTACCTCCTCTTAACGGGATAGACTGTCGTTGGAGTTTTCATATATCCTCCTTTCCTATAAGCCCTAGGGTAGCCAGGACCATGTTGTTGTTGTTATAATGAGCTGCTTCCTTATCAGCTATCATCCGTACCCATGATAGATGGCTAGGCTCTAACATCTTACCACTGTCTTCCCTGTAGGACTATTTCCATTTTGAGCCTCCCTGTAACTCACAATAGCCCAAAGTAGAGTTAGATTAAAATTAAAATCTGTGACAAAAACATTTATCTCTTATACCTAATTCCTTGTATCTTTGTGCCTGAATCCTCTATAAGGAATTTTTTAAAATAAATTTTTGTGGTTGTTGATAGACCTTTATTTTTTATTTATTCATACACGGTGCTGAGAATCAAAGCCAGCGCCTCACACATGCCTGGCAAATAGCCACAGCCACAGCCCCTTCTATGAGGAATTTAGATGAGGAAAATGCCTTGCTAAGATTTTTGTTGTTGTTGTTATTGTTTTAAATGTTTTTTAGTTGTTGATGGGCCTTAATTTTATTTATTTATATGTGGTGCCAAGAATCAAACCCATTGCCTCACACATGCCAGGCATGCGCTCTTGCACTGAACTACAACCCTAGCCCCTTTTGCCATCACATTTTGGTATCCTAGGAGTTCAGTGTCCCAGACCTTGGATTCTCTTGGATTTTTTTTTGTTCAGTGTAGGAAAAAAAAAAAAAAATTCTGTTAACTTTTTTATTAAACCTTCAATGTTGAAAATGCTGTAATTTTTCCGTTTCTTGTCTAGTGAGCCAGACCGAGGAAGGCTAACTCCCTCTCCAGATATCATTGTTTTGTCTGACAATGAGGCTTCCAGTCCTCGTTCCAGCTCCCGAATGGAGGAAAGACTCAAAGCGGCAAACCTGGAGATGTTTAAGGTAAAAGGAAAGATTTATTTCCAGCTCCTTCTACTCTCTTTAATTCCGTAAGAGTCCTAGTTCTTTTTGTTTGTTTGTGGTACTAGGGATTGAACCTAGGAGTACTGTTCCACTGATATACATCCCCAACCCTTCTTTACTTATTCATTTTTATTTAGAGACAGAGCTTGCTAAATTGCCAAGGCTGGCCTCAGATTTGTGATCTCCCTGCTTCAGCCTCCTGCGTAGCTGGGATCACAGGCATGTGCCATCACTCCTGGCCCTACTTTTGTTTTTCACTGTTTACTTTTTGAATCTAAATAACTACCTATTGATGGAAATTCTTTGTGATGATACTGAACTTCAGGGGTATGCCCTTTAAGAGGGAACTGTTATAATCAAGTGGAGAAAATAGTTTGAAAAAGCATGTATATATAAGCCATTATACTCAGTAGGATTCATTTTTGGAAATGAAAACAAAACCTTACAATTCAAGTCACATAAACACTTGGCTAGAAGGGAATACACTTTATACTTTATCTAGAATCTCAAAATATGAAGAGCTTCTTAGAGAAATGTGGCTTTTAGATTTTAGAAAACATGTTGAAAGAAAACAGGGTCTCCCTTTGGTCTTTCTATTTTGCCAGGAATCTGACTGATTAGCATTTATACATGGTCTGTCCTTTCAATCTATAAGCATTTTTTGAGTACATACTGAATGCCAGGAATTATGCATTCCCCAGGGATACAAAGATAACAACCCCATTACTACATTTGCTTCTTTCAGAAGATGAAAGTTTCAGACCTGAGAAATACAATTATCTCTTGCAGAAAAGGATTCTGGGTACCTGCTACTCTAACAGTCTCCATGTTTACTTAGGGGAAAGGCATTGAGGAACGGCAGCAGCTCATCAAGCAGCTGAGGGATGAGCTACGATTGGAAGAAGCCCGACTGGTGCTGTTAAAGAAACTGAGACAGAGTCAGCTACAGAAAGAGAATGTAGTCCAAAAGGTAATGTGCCCTAGAAATAAAGGACTAGGGGAAAGAAGAAGAAAAACTGGTTTGAGAGTAGACTCCCTACCGCTGGTAGATTTAATTTTGTGGCTCATTATCCTCTGGTTCCACAGATTTTAGTCTCTAGGAGTAGTGTGTGTGTGTGAATTCTGTTTTTCCTCCTGGTCAACAGGAGCTTTGTACTGAAAAGGAAATTTAAAAGTCTAAAAAATGCACCAAAGACAATTTTGGATTATTGTCCTTTTCTGCAGTCTTATTTTCTCTTCATTCTCCCAGACTCCAGTTGTACAAAATGCAGCATCTATTGTTCAGCCATCTCCTGCACATGTGGGACAGCAGGGCTTATCCAAGCTTCCCTCCCGGCCTGGAGCACAAGGGGAACCTCAAAATTTGAGAACATTACAGGTATGTGATACATAGTAGGATCTTAGTGTTGGAGTACCCTGCCTATCCTCTTCTGTTTTTTCTTCTCTAGAGAATCTCTAACTTCTCTAGAGAGGGTTCATACTTTTTCTAACTGTCCAGCCATATAGAATTAGTTTATACCAAACAGCCAAGGACTTTCTAGCCACTAATGAGCATTTAGAGAGTTGATAATTTCATCTAAGTCTCTATAGGATAAATTTATCAAGTCTGTCTTACGTTCCAGTGGTTTTATTCAGTTTTGAATTATAGACTGTGTTTTCCCGTTTGCATTTTATGGAGCATTATACTACCTGTGACTGGTTCTTTTCCTCATCTTCCCCTTCAGGGTCATAGTGTCATCCGTTCAGCGACCAATACCACCCTTCCACACATGTTGATGTCTCAACGTGTTATCGCACCAAATCCAGCCCAGCTACAGGGTCAACGGGGGCCGCCTAAGCCTGGCCTTGTACGTACCACAACACCCAATATGAATCCCGCCATCAATTATCAACCGGTAAGAAAGAGCCCTACCTAATGTGGAAACAGAAATTTTTTATTTGCTTTTCTTGTTGAATGGGCCAAAGGTTTTTAGTTTTTGTACATAGAGAAACAAGGTTGATTTAGGTGGAGCTTGAATAGAATTCATTTTCCAAAGTGGAAGCTTTGAGGAGTTATGAAAATAGTAGTGGGGAAAAAAAGATAGCTTATATAGCAGAGCTGAATTAGCGAAAAATCTGCTTAAGAGAAAGAAATGGACCTAGGTAAAAAAAAAGCACAAGGAAGCATGACAGAATCCCATTTTTTCCTCTTTTGTCAGTTTAGCTCATAATCATCATCATCCTTTTTTCCTATATGCCAGAGTTCTCTTTCAATGAATAAGTTGAATACTTTGTATTTTGAGGAAATGAAGCAGTCCAGACGAGGATCAGATATTAACCTTTGATAAAAAGCAAGAATTGGTCTCCCACATACCAACCGTCACTGATACATCATCTCAATCTGTTTCAGCAGTCAAGTTCTTCTGTTCCCTGTCAGCGCACAACATCCTCCGCTATCTATATGAACCTTGCCTCCCATATCCAGCCAGGAACCGTGAACAGAGTGTCCTCACCACTTCCTAGCCCCAGCGCCATGACCGATGCTGCCAACTCACAGGCTGCAGCCAAATTGGCCCTTCGCAAACAGCTGGAAAAGACACTCCTGGAGATCCCACCTCCAAAACCTCCTGCTCCCTTGCTTCACTTCCTGCCTAGTGCAGCCAATAGTGAGTTCATCTACATGGTAGGCTTGGAAGAAGTCGTACAGAGTGTCATTGACAGCCAAGGTAAGACTATTTCCTCAGGTCAGTCTCTATCTAAGCAAGAGGTTGCCAGGCCTGATTGGCATAGGCAGAGTATCACATAGTACTATGTAATGTTAAATAATCTTTCCTTACTATTGCCAAACCACCTACCATCACTTATAGATTGTTTGGAAACAGTATCCAGAGAGCTTTGTGTGCATGTAGTGTGTTTGTATTTTATATATCCTTTTTTTTTCCATGACCTTTATTTTACTTATCTATTTATATGTGATGCTGAGAATCGAACCCAGTGCCTCACACATGCTAGGCAAGTACTCTACCACTGAGCCACAACCCCAGCCCATTTATATATCTTTTATATTTTTTCAGTGTATTATTTAGATCTTGAAATGGTGCCTAGCTGGACAGGGGTATAGCTCAGCAGTGCCGAGCAGTGCCTGAGGCCATCAGTTTAGTCCTCAGCACCACATATCAAAAATAAGATACCTCACATGACACATGCACAAAGTGATGAATAGAACTTCTATTAGTGTGGCTTTGTGCTGATTTTTTTTTTGTTGTTGTTTTATTTTTATTGTTCTAATTAGTTATGCATGACAGTAGAATGCATTTTGATACATCAGACATAAATGGAGTATAACTTATTCTTCTGGTTGTACGTGATGTAGAGTTACACAGGTCTTGTAATCATATATGCATATAGGGTATAATGTCAGATTCGTTCTATCATTCCCCACACCCCTTTACCTCCCTTCACTGCCCTCTGTCTAGACTAAAATACCTCTCTTCTCCCTCACCCCCTATTTTGAATTAGCATTTACATATTAGAGAAAACATTGGCCTTTGGTTCTTTGGGATTGGCTTATTTTGCTTAGCATAATATTCTCCAGTTCCATCCATTTACTGATAAATGCCATGACTTATTTTTCTTTAAGGCTGAGTAATATTCCATTGTGTATATATATTCTAGTTTCTTTATCCATTCATCTGTTGAAGGGTACCTAGGTTGGTTCCATAGTTTAGCTATTGTGAATTGAGCTGCTATAAACATTGATATGGCTGTGTTACTGAAATATGCTGATTTTAAGTCCTTTGGCTATAAACCTAGGAGTGGTATGACTGGGTCAAATGGTGATTCGTTTTTGTTTTTGTGGTGCTGAGGATTGAACCCAAGGCTTGTGCATTGCTAGATAAGCACTTTGCCAGCTGAGCTACATCCTTAACCCTGTGCTGAATTATTTGGTTCCTGCCTTTTGAATGCTTATAGTTGAGGAAATAATATACACACTGATGTGAATAACCAAATATGACCACATAAAACTATAAGGCAGTACTGAACAGCCTACTAATATCATATCATGACACATGCACAATGTGATGAATAGAACTTCTATTAGTGTGGCTAATAACAAGTTATTAAGCTTAAATTTCCAAACATGTATTTATGGGGACACCTTAGAATGGTGGAATGTACCTAGAGGACTCAGTATTGGCTCTAAACAGATCATGAAGTCACCAATGCACATAGATAACACAAAATTGTAAATGTATATAAAACAGGAACAAGTACACTATGAAGTAAGGAGATGCTAAGAAGCAAGAAGTATTGGTTAAACCAGGCTTGGGTAGCACAAGCCTATAAACTCAGCTACTAGGGCAGCTGAGGTAGGAGGATTGTAAGTTTGAGGCCATCCTCGGCTTAGCAAGACCCTGTCTCAAACTAAAATTTTAAAAAAGGGCTGAAGTTGAAGCTCAGTGGTAGAGTGCTTGTGCAAGTGCAAGGCCCTAAGTTGATCCCCAGTACTGGTCGAGTTAGATGGAGTACTTAGATTCTGAATTGACACTGCGTTTTCTTCTCAATGTAATATACAAGGAAATCAGAAAACATGATTCTTATCCCAGCACTGTCAGTTAAAGGAGCTGTGTTTCTTAGCCTTAGTTTCCTTGTTTGTAAACGAGGGTGGTACTGTCTAAACTCCTTATAAAGTGATGTTACAGTTAAGTGAAATAAGTTTTTCTAAATTGTATTTTTTATAAAAACTTTTTTTAGTTGTAGATGGACACATCTTTAATTCAGCAGAAAAACAACTGGAAAAGATCTATTTGAAGAGAAACAGAGGAGATAGGAAATAGGAAACCACTGATTATTATTTTTGTTGACATCTAGGCAAAAGCTGTGCCTCACTTCTGCGGGTCGAACCCTTTGTATGTGCCCAGTGCCGCACAGATTTCACCCCTCACTGGAAGCAAGAAAAGAATGGTAAGATTCTGTGTGAACAGTGTATGACCTCCAACCAGAAGAAGGCTCTAAAAGCTGAACACACCAACCGGCTGAAAAATGCTTTTGTTAAAGCCCTACAGCAGGAACAGGTAAGAATTCTGATTTCTACTCACCAACCACCTGTAGGTTTGTTTTTCCCAAAGCGTTGTTGCTTCTAGATTGGGGAATTATCCATTACCCAAGTGATCCCCACAGACCTCTGGACCTGGAGACCTAAATTTCTTTTTATTCCCCCCTCTTTATCATTCTGTCATTCGCATTTCCATTTGACTATTTCTGATTGGGTAAGGGCATAGTAACATATGGCTGAAGTTAAGAGAAAGAAACAGAAGGCTTGAGAGGGCATGGTGGCACACACCTGTAATCCCAGCAGCTCAGGAGGCTGAGGCAGGAGGATCCTAGGTTCAAAGCCAGCCTCAGCAACAGTGAGGTGCTAAGCACTCAGTGAGACCCTGTCTCTAAATAAAATACAAATTAGGGCTGGGGATGTGGCTCAGTGGTTGAGTACCCCTGGTCCCCCAGCAAAAAGAGAGTCTTGATTTTTTCCATAACACTAAAGAAGTTTCTGTATTCTCAAATTCATTTTCTCCTCAAACAGGTTTTAGCCAGGCATGGTAGTACATGCCTAATAATGACTTGGGAGGCTGAGGAAGGTGGATTTCAAATTCAAGGTCAACCTCAGCAGCTTAATGAGGCCCTAAGCATCTTAAAGAGACCTTGTCTCAGAATTAAAAGGGCTGGGGGATGTGGATGAGTGGTTAAGCACCCCTGGGTTCAATCCCCTCTACCAAAAAAGGGGGGGATTTTGGTGGGAGGGATTTATATTTGTACTAGAACACTCTCTCAGAGAATTAATTATCTGTAGTCTATACTTGACAAAGAAATGACAAAGGAAAGAAAAGATTATGAAGAAGCCCAGTGAAGAGTAGTGGTGTTAGAATATGTGATCATCTCCTGTCGTAGTTATAGAATGAGAATATTTTGGGAAAGGAAAGTTGGGAAGTTTAGATCCTTTTCACTATCTCATTTCCCACTCCAGCACCCATCAGAGTCCTTTGTCTGGGTAACATCATGGACCTTCTGGAAAATAGGAATTAAAAAATAAAACCTCAGCAATTCATCAGACTTAACTACGTTAGTCAGCCCATGGCCACCACCCAGCTTCCTCCAGTTACCCTCAGAAATCCAGCTTTCCTAGGGAGAGGCCTCCCTCAATAAGTGAGACATGTAGGTCGCGTATCACCAGAGATCTCAAAGTAGCCACCCCATCAAACTATTTTTCTTTTTCCATCTCCCTCATCTGACTGTAAACATTACCGATAAGACCTTCCTTCAGGTTCTGATTAGGAAACTGGGTGCTTGATCTGATGACTTGGTCTGATGACTCCCAACAGGAGATCGAACAGCGATTACAGCAGCAGGCAGCCCTTTCCCCTACTACGGCTCCAGCTGTGTCCAGTGTCAGTAAACAAGAGACCATCATGAGACATCATACACTTAGGCAGGTGAGGAACTTTCCCCTGATCCTGATTTCTCTCAGGGTTTGTCAGCCATTTATCCCCGTTGGTCCTTTTTTCTGAGGAAAACCATACTGTTTGTCTCTATTCCTAGATCTTTGCCTCCCACTTAACTTTCCACTGTGACAAGGTTGTACTAACTGTCTCCTCGTTGTTGCAGGCTCCACAGCCCCAGAGCAGCCTCCAGCGTGGCATTCCCACATCTGCCCGCTCCATGCTTTCAAACTTTGCACAGGCTCCCCAGTTGTCTGTGCCAGGTGGCCTCCTTGGTATGCCAGGTAAGAGGGGCTGCTCTGAGAACATTCCTAGGGGGCACAATTCTAGTAGCCCTGTTAGGTGAATTGTTCCTTCCTTTGCCTTTTTTCCTTAGGGTATACCTCCTCACTGTTTTGTTATTTAGCAGATGTTTGCTAAATTTGTATTATGTTCCAGCCATGGTACACTACAGTTTTGGTGTTGAAATCGACAGTCCCTAACATTATAAATTTTAATATCTAATGTGCCTTCAGTGAGCAAGTGGTTATCGATCTCTCTTAGCTAGGACAGTTGGGCCAACTAACCTGTTTAACTGATCCAGTGTTGCTTCTTCACAATCATTGGCCCCCAAATCAGAGCAGATTCAGTGATTCCATTTCTTTATCATTTTTCTTTTTTTTTTTTTTTTTTAAAGAGAGAGTGAGAGACAGAGAGAGAGAGAGAATTTTTTTTATTTTTAATATTTATTTTTTAGTTTTCGGCGGACACAACATCTTTGTTTGTATGTGGTGCTGAGGATCGAACCCGGGCCGCACGCATGCCATGCGAGCGCGCTACCGCTTGAGCCACATCCCCAGCCCCTATCATTTTTCTCTCACCGCTGTTTTATCGATCTGTCCTCTGTCATCAGGAATGTGTTCATTATTCCTAGTAGAATTAAAATTTCAGGAAGATCTCTTTCCCTAAAGCTGGAATAAGAGGGTAGTTGCTATTGAAATAAAGCTAGGGGATGGGGCTCTAGCTCAGTGGTAGAGCACTTGCCTAGCATGTGTGAGGCACTGGATTCAATCCTCAGCACTGCATATAAATAAATAAATAAAGGTATTGTGTTCATCTACAACTAAAAAAAATATTCAAAAAGAAAGAAAAGAAATAAAGCTAGCCAAGCATAGATAGATGTAGTTAAACTCTGGTGTTCCCTCCCCATCTCCAAATCTGCAGCCCCAAAGTATAGTACTGAAGGCAGTGTCATTTCCTCTTTTAATACCTTTCCATTTTTCTCTCCTGGGTCTAGGTGTCAACATTGCATATTTGAACACTGGCATTGGAGGACACAAAGCCCCCAGTTTGGCAGACCGACAGCGTGAATACCTTTTAGACATGATCCCTCCCCGGTCTATATCGCAGTCCATCAGTGGACAGAAATAACGCCTGTTCCACTTGTACTCCCCCAACCTTGAATCCTTTACCCTTTCCTCTCCCGTTACCCCCAACTTCCGTCGCATGCAGTGCCTGTACTGGTGCCTACCATACACGGAAAGCAAAACTGAAAAACAGAAGACAAAAAATAGAAATCAACAAGAAAACACACGCCCTGCCCTGCCACCTCCCCTTTATTCACTGCTGCGATCTGTTCTCCTGCCGCTCTATCTTCTCTTTGATTTTCTTTTAACAGTGAGGTGGATCTTTGCCTCTGATAGAGGTCAGAAGGAGGTCCTGGGGAGAATTTAAGCCCTCTGACGTGTGTTTCTAAAGTTTGTTTTATGCTACAATTATTATCATTTTTAATTATACTGTGTGTCCTCCCTTTGTTCAGTGGACGGTTAAACCTTTCCCCCCCCCCCAGTCTTTTTCTTTTTCCTTCCTCCCTTTCTTCCTTCCTCCCTCCCTCTCTCTTTTTTTTTTAATAAACACAATGACATTCAGTTCAATGATAGGAGCATTGCAGATTGCAGTAGGATCCTCAGCTGCCAAGTAGGACGTGACTGGGAGTATTAGGGGCAAAGATTTTGAATGCACTTAACCTGAGTTGTGGGGTGAGTGGCATCAAGCAAGGAGGATTAACACCCTAGCTGTGGGTGTTTTGGGGATGGGCAATTTAGGAGACAGTGTTTTAGTATTGATGTTTGGCTCTAAGAAAGAAAGGAAAGAACCTGCAAGGAGAAGCTTTAAAACAACTGCCCTGGAATTTACTTAGGAAAGGAGAAGAAAGAAGTATGATAGTTAGCATAATGATAAGCCAAGGAGGACTGAGACCAGGTCCTGGCCTCTGGATGCTGGAGGAATACAGTTGGTCTCCTGACCCCAGGGGTATGGAAGTCTGTTCCAAGCCAACTAGCCCAAAATAGCTTCATCTAATTTCCTTTGTAAAATTGTCCCTCCACCCCACTCTCACTCCCTTTTTAAAAATCCTAATCTTCCCCCCGCTAACTACAGCCCCTGGTTGTTCCCAGGCTGTTTTTTTGCTGGTGTCCTAGAAGTTATATGAGTATGAATGAGTCAAGTGACAAAAGTTGAAAATAGAGGAAGAGATTTCTCTCCTAGCAGTTGAAAGTCATACATTTGTCTGTCCTTCACCCTCTAAGTGCAGGGAGGTAAGAGAAAGGGCCCTAATCAGCCTGGAGTCCTGCCCTGACTGTGCTGCACAGACTGCAGAACCAGCTGCTTGATGCCAAACAGCTCACTGTCAAGACCAACTCTGGACCTCTGCTCTACAAGTGTTGTCTTTCTCCCGCCCCCGCCCCCCATTCTATTAATTTTGCTCTTTTGTTTTTGTTTTTTTCTTAAGTGCTACTAATGTAGAGAATGAATTGAATTGTGCAATGTTGCTGTTCTGGGGATTAGGGAGATTAGCATCCCATTTGCCCACACTGTGGGGGAAGGGGGTACGGACCAGGCTGTTTTTTGAGGTAAGGGAAGGCCCTTAAAAGGAAGGGTTTCTGCCCTCCTCGGTAGTTGACACCCACCTGCCTCTCCAGCTCCAGAAGCTGCCAGAGTGCGCTGGGGACGCAGAGTGGTGTGAGGAGTTAATATTTTGCCCTTGAAAGCCACCTGAGGAAGTTCCCTCGTTTTTATTTTTTAAAATTAAATAATTTTTTTAAAGTAAAAAGGCACTTTTAAAATTAACACATACACACAAACTGCACATCTTCCCCATAAAATTTGGGGGTAGGGTGGGAAAAGGAGCTGAAATCAGGCTTAGTCCCCCACTCTGGCCTCTACTCCCCACACCCCAGTGCCACTGAGGGTGATTATACTGGCCCTACGGGCCATCCTGGCTTTTTTTCTTTCCTACCTTCCCCCAAATTTCATTGAGCACTTAATAAAGGAGCAGAGATACAGCCAGTGTCTGGGCTCCCCAAGTGGTGAAATGGTCTGAAAGCTAGACGCTAGTACCAGGTAGTGTCAGGTCGTTTCGAGTATTTTTCTGGGGAATGTCATACCCCTGACTGTAAGTGGTGGGAGAGGGAGGGGGGTTAATGGAACTGGGTCTGGGATTATTTTAAAATTATATATATATATATATAAAGATATATTCTTACATCTTTTCTTTGCCCTCTGTGCTTTGAAAGCACTGGATAAATCGTTTGGTTTTGCTTTTCTCTCTTCCACAAAATTGGAAGCTTTTTTTTTTTTTTTTCCCCTTCATGTTTTTCCTACAAGTCATTTTGCCTTGTGGCATGTCTGTCTAGCCTCCCCCACCCCATGATGAAGTGCCATTTCTGTTATGTCTCCCTGACCCCCAGCTCAGAGGTGCTCAGAGGTACAAGGTGCCCAAGTTTGTCAGTTGAGATTAAAAGTTAGGAACAGAGAATGTGCAATACCTTCTGGCTGGGGGCTGTCCCTGCCCTGAGCTGAGTCCCTGCCCTGGGAGCCAGGCCACCTTAAATGGGATTTGGAAGTAAGATGTGTAGAGATGGGGAGTGGTGGGGAAGGAAAGCCCATAGTCCCGTGTCTGCTTAGGTGCTGAGACCATAGGGGAGAGGGTAGAATCTTTCCTGTTTTAATCCCCTCTGGGTCGATTACATAGACGCTGCTTATTAACTAGTATAGCTCTGTGACCCTTTGTTCAATTGCTGAGGTTTGATTTCTTACCCTCTCCACCCCATCTTCATACCCTTCCCAAGGATTAGTGATGGGGCAAGTTCTCCTTAATCATGGTAAAGCATTAGCCTCCACTCCCCACCTTCCTTCTCCCCATCTTCTGTCTTCCTCAAGTCTCTGCTTTTTCATCTGATTGTCTCGTTCCCTCCAAGTCTAGTGTTGCTATCATCCCTAGGCTTTGTAGACACTAATCCTGTGCCCTGAGGATGGGAGGAAAGACCTTGTGTTCACAGAGTTGTCCTTTACCCTGGACCTTTGAGTTTCCAGGTATTATTAGAGTGAGGGTCCCACAAGTTGTGCCTGGCTTCCTCCAGACCCAGTGGCACTAAAAGCACTCATTCATGGATGGTGTCTTAACTCCCTAGAAACCTGAGACAGGTGGATTAGTGGTAAGACTTGGGTAAAACTGGGAGACAGAGGTCCTTATTTGTCAGTTTTATTTTGTCACTTGACCACAGCATCTGGACTCCCTCCATCTCTGGAATAAGTATTTCCCCCACATTTTTGGATTTATGTATGGTAGACATTTTTTTTTTTTTTTAAAAGACACAGATAAATGTTTTCCTGCTTTGGTTACCTTTCCTTTTCCCTTTGAAAGGAATTAGCTGTAGAACTGCTTTGTAAAGATGCTTCTTGATATTTTACTTTTGTTCCTTTTCCCCAACCATTCCCTTTTCTCCCCATTTCTCCCGAAGGCATAACCCTTCTCTCCACACACCCTACCCCATCCCAGTCCTAGGCTCCCTTCCCTCTCATCAAGATCTTCATTAGCTTATGATATTTGCTGCCGAGATGTTATAACAAGGACTCATTCGTGTATATAAGCTATTTCTTGATCCATTTAAAAGGAATTGTACATTGTGTAGAAAAAAAAAAAAACCTGAAAAAGAGAAAAAAAAAAAAAGCCCTAGCCATGGATATTGTGAAACTGTGTTATGTCATTTTGTAATGTGCCCGTTTGTGTATGATCCGTGCAAAAGGGTTTCTGGGGAAGGGGAGGGGGTAGGGAGGCAGGGCTGTGGAGGGTGGGTAGGGGAGTGGGCCGGGCCCAGCACACTGAGACTGGCAGCTGCTCCAACCCCATCCCTCCTTAGAGATGCCACCTCCCCCACCACCCACCCCTAATTTGTGCCTTGCCTCCCCACCCTGGAGTAGTCCCTCCGGGTCACCAGCACTGCCTTGGCAGAGCCCACTCCCTACCCTAACCTGCCCACCCTCCCTGCCCCCCAGCATTAGGTTGATACTGTGGGGAAGTGCTGGGGTTTGGGAGGCAGCCGAGGAATGGGGCAGTTCCCCGGGGGCATCGAAACCAAGTATTATTATGAATTGTAATTGTATTTGCACTGTTTTTTTTCCCTCTGATTGCATCAGCATATATACAATATACCTATATAACAAAATTCAGTGTCAAGCTTTCTTATGCAAGGGATTTCCCCCATCTCACCCCCACCCCCCCCACAAAAAGAAAGAACCTAGTCTAATGGACCTTTGAAGATGAATTGTCAGGGGATGGTAGGAAGAAAGGACCCCCTTAGGAGGTCTCACCTTTTGAGAGCCACAGCTATCTGCACAGTTTTAGACTATGAATTGAGGTGAGGTTGGGTTCCTGTGAATGCTGGAACGATTTGTCCAGGACTGTGGAGAATATTAAATAAAGATAAACACCAGTACAAAGAGTGACATGGCCTGGAGACCTAGGGTCTCCTAACTTGGCTGTGTGCTCTTTGGTAGTGTTATTTTTGTGGGTCTCAGGTTTTTTTGTTTGTTTGTTTGTTTTAATCTGTGAAGGATGAAATCATCTGGCCACCAGTGTTGAGGTTCTGAGCTTCTTTCCCTCCTGCCAAAAACAGAAATCAGCTTGAGGTGAAGGAAGTGTTGGGCTGAGACAATAGGGAGGAAATGAAAGCGACTAATGTTGAAGTAGTTACATATGTGACAGTGCCCTTGGAGAGCTGGCAGTCAGTCCCTTGCTTTAAGTTTTTTTGTAAGAGGTGGCAGAGTGATGTTCAGGAGGGCAGTTAGACCAGTGATATCTTTGCCCTCGTGTTTCTAATTGAGAGCAGGGATCAGGCCCCAAGCCCATCTCAACCAACTACAAAGCCCTTAAGGATGGTTGACCTTGGATGCCCAGTGTTTGGTCTAGTTACTTCCTTTGTGAGCTACAGGATATTGAACTTCCCCTGTCGTCTTGGTGACAAAATGCAAGAGCCCACATCTTTCCTTCCCTCAGTTCCAGTCTGAACCCCTAAAGGCAGCTTTTTCACAGTCTGTCGTCTTCAGGGGCTCAGTTTCCCTTAGCCTGGGCTGAGTACTCCCACTCTCTAACTTCCTGGCTGGTAAAGCCTGGAGAGGTACAGGATGATGGGTGAGGCCTTGGTGAAGGTGGAAGGATGGATTGGGGTTTGGGGTGGGGTGGGGAGCAGGGAGGTGGGATGGGAAATGGCCTTCCCTGAACAGGGTGGGTGGGAGGGGAACAAGACCCTTTTGCACAACTCTTAAGTTTCCTTTTTTTTTTTTTCTTTTTTTTTCTTTCTCTTTTTCTTTCTTTCTTTTTTTAAATCTCATTCTAATTTTCTGCATTGTTTGGGAAATAAAGTGAAAAATCTAAGACCAATAGAAACTGGTTTTCAAAAAAGGTAAATACACTCCCATCTGTTTCAGATGCTGCTGATCATTTCAGCAGTGACAGATTCAAATAATAAGCTAATTTTTGGAGAAAGGATTAAAAGAAAAAAAACTTTGTAATATTTATCACTTGCAAGCTATGTTTAATAAAGAAAGGAATGGTTTCTAAATTTCCCTGTGGCTTGTGCTTTAGTCATGGGGTGGGGGAGGGGCAGTTTGATGGGAGAATTTTAGGGGTAATTGGAAGGTGAGCTATCACTTATACTCCCTACAGTCCACTGATGGTGTGTCTTTGATTTGTACATTTTAATTACGATTACTTAAAGCCCTTTCCTATTTCTCTGTACTTTCTTTTCTCTATTTCTAATATTCCAAAAGCCGCTGACCCCCATTTCAGTTACCTGATGAGTTAATGTCCAAAGATATCAGGTGTGGTTGAGTGGGTCTCCATTTTCTCCTAGAGAGAGGTGCCTCCTGGCTGCCCTTGGCCCTTCCTGTCTAGTAACAGTCATTTGGAACTCTGGCTTCTTTAGGTGGGGCCTTATCACAGTAGGGGTTCCTGCTGCTCTTTTCATAGGATGCTGCAGTCTGTCCTTCCTGAACAGCCTAAATGCAGCATCTCCAAAAAGATGCAGAACTGCATGCTCACCTCCATGTCACCCTTCAAAGTTTTCCTTTGAACCCAGAGCATGAACCAGACCCCTTTTTATTTTACTTTCCATTTTGTCTTTTTATTTCCAACAAAGTACTCAGACCAGGCCCAACCAAAGGAGAAGACTTGAAGTCTGGGCTGCTCTTAACCCCTTGTTTGCCTTCTACATTTTATACTCACAGATACTTCTGCACCTTGTGCAAAGCATCCCTGTGGAGGGCCAGGACCCAGCCTTTCTGAAATCTTGTCCTTGGTACTAGCAGTATTCTACATGAGCACAGCAACAGTATTTGGGGTGCCCCAAGCCCTGGGCTTTCCTTTCCCTGAGACCCTCCCCCTTTTTAGCACAGTATGGAACAGCTTTGGAAGGAGAGGCTGGTTGGGGTGGAGGCTGGGCCTTTGACTTTACAGCATGACAGCTGGATGAAGAGGGACTATGGGGTGCTGAGTGCCACAGACTGGCAAAGGGACTGGTAAAGAGACGCTCTTTGGGCCCCTCAGATTGGAGGGGATGATAAGTGGGATACTCCACAGCCTCTGAGCCCATTCTACAAGGGATTCAAGGCCACCAAAACCCCAAGTCAAACTAATCTCTTCAAAATAGAAATCAAATGGGGAGGGATACCCTGAAGAGGGACCAATGCTTTGGATCTGGGAAGGGGCAATGGGAATTTGGTTGCTCAAAGAAAGACTTGTGGTGTTGGGTGGGGGGGGGGGGACAATGAACTTGGCTCTCCCTTTGCCCATTTGCTGACTCAGACTATGTTACTAGTCCCTCTGTCAGACTTCAGCTTGAGCAGGAAGAGAAAAACAAATCTCAGACTCGCATTCTGGTTTTGAGATGGACGTGGTGACAAAGCCCCTTGTCTTGTTTCTCCACTTTGAAGGAACATTTAAAGCTATAAATCTCTGGATAGGTCCATATTTGGGTCAAGAGGGGTTCTAAGGCAGGAGTCGCTATTGAGTAACTCCAGCTGCCTTGGCCTAGTTGAAGGTTATTTGGTATGCTGCCTGGAAGGACGCAGATTGTCCCGTTTCTTGATCTAGAAGGCGGAACAAAAACCACACCACTTTCTCTCCTGCCATGGCCAGGCCTGCCCCTCCCCAGATGGGGCTGAGGCACCTTTGGTTTCCTCCTGACTCCGGAGTAACAGGAACAGATGAGGTTGATTCTTTGGTGGATCCAGAGTTAAATGATATCTGGGAGGAAGCCAATTTGGAGGGCCCTAGGCTAAGAGCTGTGCCATGGTCACCTGGGCCCCTGTCCCAAGTCCTCAAGCACACCAGTTGCCCCCCTACTCTGAGCCTGGCCTGCATGAGCTGCAGCTCTGTCTGCTGCAGGCTCAGATGCTTGGGACCCCTGTCTGCAGAAGAGGCTTCCCAGACAGAAAGTGTCGGCACCATGACCTGTCTGGGACCTCCCTCCATCTTAGAATGGACCCTGACCTTCACCCTGTTCCATTTTTCCCAGAGATGGAGAGGGTCACCCCTTCTTGCTCCTGGGTGGCAGGGAAACTGGCTCTGGCCTTGTTGTCCACCTCTGGTCTCCATTTTGGGAGTAGCAGTTTTCTCTGCCCATTTGGTAGCCCAGCAGGCCTCCCTCCACTCCTGGTACCACACGACTGAAGAGAACTGCCTGCAGTCCACCTCGTTCTCCTTCCTAAGTTTGGTGAGTGAGGGAGAAGGGCTCTGTCTCCATCTTGTCAAATGCCACAGTCATGACTCTCCTTAACAGTTTTCCACATTACCTGGGGCTTACCTATGTCTCCAGCTGAGGAAGAGACAGGGGAGTGAGCTGTTTCGCCTTGGCCGCAGGAACATCTGGTGTGGGACTTGGATAAGGACCCTGGCCACTGGACAAACTCTGGGGGAGCTGGGCAGGCAATGGAAGGGAGGAAGGCAGGAAGGCACCATGAGGCCCTGTCTCTTTCCCCCATCCCACCTGGGTCTTCTCCTGGTCCAGGGAGACCTCCCAGGACCCTCCCAGCCCACCCTCCCGGGGGCTCACCCTGCACTAGCAGGGACACCCTGTGCCCTGCGCCAGACAAGCATGCCCAGCCAGTTGGCAGCACAGACATAGACACCAGAATGCTGGACCCACACATCTGAGATCATGGGATTCCCAGTGCCCAGGACTCAAATGCCCTCCACAGCAATGGAGCGGCCATCTGTGGGAAGGCACTCAGGTCAAGGCTGGAAAAGGCTGAGGACTGGGTGGGGCCAAGGTGGGGGGATGGGGCAGCTGCTCACCCAGGCGGCTCCAGGAGACAAGTGGCCTTGGTGGCGGTCACAGTGGCAATACACTCCAGCACTGCTGTTTGGTGCACCGTGAGCGTCAAGTCCTGAGGCCCAGACAGGATCTCTGGCCCCTGCAGCAGCTGCGGGTGCCCTGGGTGTTGGAAATGGCACACTGGATCAGAGAGAGCCCTTTCCCATCCCCTGTCCTCACTTCTTTTTTTTAACCGGTGCGTTATAAACATACACAATGGCGAGATTCGGTGTCTCATGTCGGTTCATGCACCCCTACACTCACTGCCGCTCCAAGTGCCCCCTTCAGCCCACATGCTTTGTGTTTCTTCCCTGATTCACAAACACAGGAGCTGCCTAGAGTCCCCTGGCAGTGCAGATTAGGCAGGCCCCAGCTACCGAAGGAGGAGGAGGAGGAGAGGGAACTTGCTCCTCAGGTGTCCCCAGGGCAGGGCCTGCAGCCGGGACATTTGCTTCCCAGAGCGCCCCCCCTGGGGAAGGGGTGGGACCAACTTCCTTTACTGAGGCACCCCAGAGCTAGAAGACCCTCCCCCAGAAAGACCCCAAAGAATTCCGCCTGCCTCAGCTGTTAGGAGAAATGCAGGCATTTTCCCCCAATAGATTCCCATCTTAGATCTAAAGCACAGCACGGCTTCATTTGATGCCACACCTTCCCAAGGTTTTATTACTTGTTAAATTCTTTTTTGTTTGTTTTTCTTTTTGGTAAGGGTGTTTTATCACTGAGCCACTTCACCAGCTCTTTTTATTTTTAATTTTGAGACAGAGTCTTGCCAAGTTGTCCAGGCTGGCCTCAAATTTTTGATCCTTCTCTCAGCCTCCTGAGTCATTGGGATTACAAGTATGCACACCGAGACA